AGAAGTAGTCGTCGTCGTCGTAGTAGCAGCAGCAGCAGCAGGAGTAGGAGTAGGAGCGGGAGTAGGAGTAGTAGTAGTAGTAGTAGTAGTAGTGGTGGTAGTCGTTGTAGTAGTAGTAGTTCGCAGTCGTCGTCGTGGTGGCGGTAGTAGCAGTAGCAGTAGTAGTAGTAGTCGTCGTAGTAGTAGTAGTAGTAGTAGTAGCAGCAGCAGCAGCAGCAGCAGTAGTAGCAGCAGCAGCAGCAGTAGTAGCAGCAGTAGCACATTCATTGTCACAGTTTCGCAGTGAGCGACAGTTCGAGTCGACGAGTCTTCGGCTCAGACGCTAAAGCGAACCCTTTCATTTTCTCGTGGCCATGGCGCTTCTCGCTTTGGCCATCGCCGCGGTCGTGCTGCCTGCTACCTCTCAGCAGCATGACTGTTCGATTTTGGGCTGCGAAGCCGATCCAAGCTTCCATTTTCAGCTCCTGCAGTACAAGATGGCGGCAAAGACTGCGCAAGATCACTCGGAATGGATCGGGAAAGGTGGGAATCTTATCAGGTCAGGATCTACATGGGCTGTCCCACCTGTGGACCTTTCAAAAGGTCCAACTTGGACATGGGAAGCTCCCTTGGGTGGCCTTGTGCGCGGCTCACCGGTGGTGGATTCCAAGGGCTGCATCTACCAGTCGACGATTGACGGGCAGATCGTAAAGTTCTCGCAGACAGGCGATGTCCTCTGGGCCATCAGCACAGAAGGAATTTCCTTCCCTGGCAATCCTGTTCATCTAGCAGGTGTGCTCTACAACTTCGGGACGGATGGTCAAATGCTCGCCTTGGACTCCAATGATGGGAAGAAGCTGTGGCAGACACAGGCCTGCGATATGGCAAGTGGTGACACCCACACAATCATCGCGGGCGATGGGGTCGTGCTTGCCTCATGCTTGAACAAGGGCGAGGACAAGACGTTTGGCTCGGCCACCATGATTGTCGCCTGCAATGCCACGGATGGGCAGGTCATGTGGAAGTACCGTCCAGATAATGGCCTGTACAACTGGATCGGGTCGATTCAGGCTGGAGACCTTCTCTTCTCTGACATGAATGGGGGCGTCTATCGCATGAGCCTCAAGGACGGGTCTCTTATCTGGAAGGTGCCTGCTCCTGCTGGGGCTACCTCGACCACTGGGGGCTTATCGGGCGCCACCAACGGCCTCGTCTACGTTACGCACAATCTGGACAGCCCCGACGGACACGTGGGGCTACTCTCCGTGTACACTGCAGCAGATGGCAAGCCAGTCTGGCAACGCAGCTTTCCAAAGTTCCCAGCAAACTCTGGTCCAGCAATTGCTACAGGTGGGGACGAGCCCTTTGTCGTCATCGCCATTGGGACTAACCCTGGCTTCGCTTTGGGCAAGGGTTTCGTGCTGGACCTGGACCCTTTTGATAAAAATGATACCAGCGGAACTCAGCGTCATCCCTCGAAGGCTGTCGCGATGGATGCAAAAGACGGCCGCTTGGTCAACCTTCGGGATCCTTTTAGCCTTTCTGGTTTCCCGTAATGTTCTAAGATGTAGCCCCCAATTTCTCGACGCAGGCCATACCATCTGGGAATACCAATTCCCTGACTGGCACGGGGCAGCAGCCGGTGACACACCCACTCACACCTGCTTGCCGGACTCCTATGCAAACCCTTCCATCGCTGGAGATGGAGCCGTCTTTTTGGCAGGTATGTCCGGCACCGTCTACCGCCTTCTCGACAAGGACAGGGACGGTAAGTTTGATCCAGCCAGTGGTGAGGTCACAACGTATGACACCGGGAATGCATTCCAGGCCGCTCCAGCAATCAGTGACGGCATTCTCGCAGTGTCTCCTTGCAACGGATTGAAAGTCTTCCTGTCTTAGAGAGACGAGTCTGCTGGAGCCAACAAATTGCCAAGATGCCGCACTTGCCTTTCTTTGCCCATTTCTGCAATACTTTAAGATCAGCGATCACAGCTCTGTTTTTTTCCAGCCGCACGCAGTAAATTAGAAAGACCAAGGCGTTTCAGCGCAATGCCTCCGTCCTTGCCGCGCTCGCAGAGGACTCCACCTGGGGGCAATGTGGGTTTAGGATTTGCAAGCAGCCGTTGTAGTAGAAGCAGTAGTAGCAGTAGTAGTACAGTAGTAGCAGTGGTAGTAGTAGTAGTAGTAGTAGTAGTGGTGGTGGCAGTAGTAGTAGTAGTAGTAGTAGTAGTAGTAGTAGTAGTACTAGTAGTAGCAGCAGTAGCAGCAGCAGCAGCAGCAGCAGCAGCAGCAGGAGTAGTGCAGTAGAAGTAGTCGTCGTCGTCGTCGTCGTAGTAGAAGCAGCAGCAGCAGGAGTAGGAGTTGGAGCGGGAGTAGGAGTAGTAGTAGTAGTAGTAGTAGTAGTAGTGGTGGTAGTCGTTGTAGTAGTAGTTCGCAGTCGTCGTCGTGGTGGCGGTAGTAGCAGTAGCAGTAGCAGTAGCAGTAGCGGCAGCAGTAGCAGTAGCAGTAGCAGTAGCAGTAGTTGTAGCAGTAGCAGTAGCAGTCGTAGTCGTAGTAGTAGTAGTAGTAGTAGTAGTAGTAGTAGTAGTGGTAGTAGTGGT